GCCCCGCCCGCAGTGCCACCCACCGCCCGCTCCTGCCGGCCTGGAGCGGCTGCCCCGCCTGGGCCAGGGCTGCGGTGTCCCTGTGTGGGCCAGACGTGCATTTCCCGGGCTCCGGAAGTGGCCCGTCTTCTCCGTGTAGTTGCCGAGCTGTGACATGGTTCACCGTGTTTCTTTTCGATCCTGCCTTTGCAGAGCTCCTGAATATGAGCTCTTATAAGTCAGCTGAACAGCGAACGCACCCTCGCCCTGACCCGTGTTTCACCTTCCCCGAGCTGGGTGGCCCGGTGCGCCATGGAGTCTTGTCTGTGTGGCTGGGGATGACCGACAAGGCGGCCCTGGGCTGTCAGCTAGTGGGACGCGCGCGCCCTCACCAGCTGGTGTTAGCACGGCCAGCAACCTGCCGGTGGAGGTGATGGCTGTCGCTTAGGCCCCGGGAACACTTTGTCACGGCCCCTGTCGCCCCAGGAGCGCACGGGACACATGTGGCCAGTATAGCGGCTGGACATTTTCCAGAGGAACCTGAGCGCAATGGGGTTGCTCCTGGCGCGCAGATCCTGTCCATCAAGATCGGCGACACCCGACTGAGCACGATGGAGACCGGCACCGGCCTCATCAGAGCTGTGAGTGCTGGCCCGGCCCCGGGGGTGAGGGCCGAAGACCCGGGCTGCTCGTGGGCGGTCGGGTGCTTTTGCCTCACCGGGAATACATTCCACGAGGTCAGGGGCACGAGGCGTCGTTCAGAAAGCTCAGTGCTTGTTCATTCCTGTCCTAACCTACGGCGTGTTGCTTAAGATTATGGCTGGTTAAGAGACTCCGGGGTCCGTGCCTTTGTTTTACTGGCTCATCTATTTCTGTAAGCTTCTGCCTAAACTAGACTCTTCATCTTTTGAATAGATGATAGAAGTGATAAATCATAAGTGTGATCTCATCAACTACAGTTATGGAGAAGCAACTCATTGGCCAAATTCTGGGTGAGTGTTCTTAGACACTTGTTAGCTTTGGGGCCTTGCTGATGAAGAGTGGTGACTCTGTCTTAATGGGGCGACAGTCATGGCCGAAAGGAGTCGTCAGTGGTTGGTGGGAAAGTGCATCTCCAGGCCTCCGGCCCCAGGTGCACAGTCAGGTGGCTGTCCTCACTGCCCCAGCCAGGCAGAGCCGAGGGCCCGGCCATCACCGACTTCTCGTCCCGAGCAGCCCAAACGCTTCCTACTGACCGACTCTAGACTTGCCCAAACTCTGGCCCCCTTAATGATGCTGCACCTCACCTCGAGCCTACAAACCTCAGCTTGTCACTCCCTTGGACCTCGCCTGCCACACTCAGGTGGCAGTTCGCAGCTCCTGTCTGGGAACAGCACTTGCCCTGTGTTCCCTCAGCCGAGGTCCACACCTCAGAGAACCGAGGTCTGCAGAGGTGACCCCCCCCCCCCGATCTTCTCTCCCCTCTGACTCCGCCCACGCTGAGAAGGGATCCCTCAAGCACGCGTGGTCTGGTCTCCCCACGTCTCCTTGAGGGGGGCTGTGGGCTTGAAGTCTCTACCGGAGCACTGTCCGTCCCACGCCCTTCCCGCTCGCGCAGCCCTGGCTGGGCTTGGGCCTCTTCGCGGCCCGTCTCTGGGTCTGTCCTGCCAGCCCCCGCCCCCGCCCCTCTCCCGGCAGCTGTGTCTTCAGCCCGGTCCAGGGCTGGCCCCTGACCGCGTGCTTCCCTACCTCACCGTTTGCTTGCCTTCCGGTAACTACGTGAAACTACTGCTGTGAGTCTCTCTTATGCCCCGCCCCGAGCTGTTCAGTACACGCCCTCCAGTTTCTGCAGCTCTGCAGTAAGGTTGTGTCCGAGTGGCCTTTTGCCTGCCCAGACCCTCTAGTGTGCTGTCAGCAAGTCGTTTTCCTCAGGCCCTGGCCTCCTCACGAGACACCCTCTCCTGCCTGTGGCCTGCCCATCCGCTTCCGCTGCTTCCCTGAATGACCTTGTCCCTTTTCTTTTGCTCCAGTATTGTACTTACCTAAGGTTCTCTCTCTCTCTCTCTCGCCCTGTGAAAGTCTTCTTTCCCTCACACTTTTCTCTCGACACCTTCAGCTTTGGAATGTCTGTTGGCTCTTGACCTTTTTTTCGTTTTTTTCTGTTTCTTCCCTCATGATCTGGCTTCACCATCTTTAAAACATGAGTACACTTTCCTTTGCCGTCAAGCTCTCACCAGATTCCTTATATTAAGTGGGAAAAGAAAGTGAAATGCTTCAGTGCCAGTCACGGCAACATTTCAGTATTTTCTTCCCGCCCCTGTCTAGTTTGTCTTCCCACTTGTTCAGTCTGTGTCTAGCATTTCCCCCCGGGAAAGGGAGCCCCGGGCCGGTGCCCCGGGCCGCGGCAGGGCACACCCGACCGTCTCCGAGGGGCCCCCGCCACCGTGGCGCTGGTGCCTGACGCGGTTCTCATACTTGGAAGCTAAACTGATGAGTGTTTTATGTAAATCTTATTTGAAAATATTTTCACGACGTGACATTCTGAAGGGCGGACACGCCCATGTTAAGGTGTTCTCTCCCCCTTCCAGGAGAATCTGCGAAGTCATCAGTGAAGCGGTGTGGAAGCATAACATCCTTTACGTCTCGAGCGCGGGGAATAACGGCCCGTGCCTTTCGACCGTCGGCTGTCCGGGCGGAACGACGTCCAGTGTGATAGGTCAGTCCCTGTGTTAGGTGGGCCTGTGTAAAGGCCGCACCCACGTGCCCAGTCGCGCACGGACAGGGCGCGGCGGCAGGGCCCGGTCTAGCACAGACTCTAAGGCCAGGTGGTGTAGGAGGCTTTGGGGCGCAGAGTAGTGCTTGGAATCAGATGTGCAGTTACTGAGGTGCGAACGAGCTGGTGCCTTCTGGAAGACACGAGCGTGCGGATTTCAGGAGATCGAAAGGGGGTAAGGTCACAGATTGGTGAGGAGTGAACTTAAAACTAGGATCCATGTTTCGCGTCCATTTGTTCACGAGGGAATCACCCCCCAGGTGTCGGTGCTTACGTTTCTCCTGACATGATGGTCGCGGAGTATTCACTGAGAGAGAAATTACCTGCAAATCAGTACACCTGGTCTTCTCGAGGCCCCAGGTAGGTTGAGAGCATTACCAACATTT